GTTGCTACGGGGTGTTAACTAAATGAACAATTACGGGTTCTGTTTAATTAACGTGGCAGTAGGCTATTAAATTAAATCAAATACCCGGCCGTTGATATTCAATCAATAAAATACCCATGAACAATTAATTCAGGAAACGCACGAATAGCAATAAATTGGAAGAAATAATGAAGATTCGATTAGATCTCACAGATGTTATGGACCGTGCCTTCTCGTTAACCTTTGGGTAGAGGAAGAAATTAGCCGCTCCTCATCGTGTCAATCCCGCGTGGTTTAATTGAGTTCATTCAATTAATTGCCGAAGAATTGGAAAAGTGAAACAATGAAGGAATAGTTTCTTCGTATTCTGCGTCCAAAATGGAGCCCCGCGCACAAGGGGAATCTTCTTCCCTAACTGCGGCTAGAGAGGAAAGAAAAACCCAAAAGCGTCTGACAAAAGAAGAGACAAGACGAAAGCTAAGGTCCTCCTAATTTCGAATGTGATTGCTGCGGAAGAAAAAAAACAAAAGAGCCGCCGAACTGTCTGACAAATCTTCCCCTAAAAAAAAAAGTAGAAAAAGAGAAACTAAGGCTAAGAGTCGCGTCCCCTTGAATCTTGCTTTTTCCTTTCTTTATAGCCGCCGCAGGAGCTCTCAGACGTCTGGCCCAATTCATTCCAACAAAAGCTAGCCTTTTGGAGTTTTTATCCCATGTTTCTCATGGTTCACGTGGACCGTAGTTCGGCTTTCGGTAAAGTCTACCTTCTAAGGCGTGGCCACGCCCTGAGACGAAAAGTTTTCTGGAAATTTACCCCGCGAGATCATTTTTCATGCCGACCACCTACAATTCACACAAATATCGAATATGAGTGAAATTCCAATTCTTAGCACCGTGAATAGCCAAAATTAGGACAAAATAACGGTGTAAAATGTGCCAAATAACAGCTCTATCAAATCCCCCCACACCTAAACAATGCTTGCCGTCAAGCATTTCGGAGCTCAGAAGTACAACCGAGAGAGCAAAGGTCATGCAATAAGCTATACTAACACAAGCACCTCAGATCCCTGACAGTATCACCAAAGGTAGAACACACCGGACATGTTGTAATTCAAAAAATCTATATGAATACTAGGAACGCTCAATCCAACATCACGGAATGCCATTACCATAGGCTTGCACATTTATCACATCTCCACCACTTAAAAGTGAACTAAACACATAAATCAAAGGGACTTTAATAGGGTTGTAATGGGGTTTCGGGTGAAAGGCGGGTTAAGAAGGTGTAGATAGGGGGTAAAGTGTCAAGAGAGTGTCCGAAACTCACCAATAACCACAGTGCTTTACCGGAAGAGTTTCACAAACAAGGCAGTTTTCATTTGCTGTACCCATTGTACAAGTGCCCCCAATTTTTTCTCTTTCTCTCTTTTTTTTTTTTGAAGGAATACTGCTCGCAAAGCATGGGCACGCCTTGTAGCCCATAGTCCTCTGGTCACGAGGTCTTTTCAGGAATTTTTTTTTTAAGGAATAAGTCCTGTAAGGCGTGGGCACGCCCCTGTAAGCCAAAGTCCTCTGGTCAGTGGCCTTTTTCCAATTTCCCCTCCTTTATACAAGGATAGCATCATATAGCTCCTAATCTAACAGCACTTGCAACCCCAATTTTGTTTGCTTTGCACAAATGATGGAATTCAGGCATCCCTTGGCAACAAAGGGGTAAACAAGAAAGTTTAAAGAGGTCTTGGGTTAACAAACATGGATAACAACCCAAAACGAAGGACAAAAGCTCAAATTGGTTCACTATTGGGAGATAAGATGAGGGCTTGATTTTTTTTTTTAGATAGTTAAAGAGGGTCAAATCCTAAATGCCCTTATCATTTCAAATGCATCCAATTCAACAAAAATGTGATCTCGACATGTATAAACTAGCAAGTTCTAGAATGCCAATACCATGTGTGATACCCACTCAATCAAACAAAAATAGAGCAAACAAAAATAATGTGCTCATATAAGGCTCAAAAGCTCCCAAAAGTTTCAAAAATGGGTCAATTCCAACATATTCAACATTCAACGACATTGCCAAGGGAAGCAAGATGCACAACTAGCATATCCGACCACATACCCACTCTGATTATGTCATTCATCACAGCAACATGCCCCAACACTAACAAGCTTAGAAATAACCAAAAAAAATCGACTAACTACAATGTTTTTTTTCATTTTTTTCTTTTCGTCTTTTTTTTTCTTTCATGTTTTTTTTTCTCTTTTTTTTTATGCAAAGCAAAAAGAACTAATGAAAAAGAGAGAAAGAGAAAAAATTAGTGGGAGTCACACTAATGGAAGTCACTCCCCCCACACCTATGACCTACATTGCCCTCAATGTAGAAGAGACCAATAAAGTATTAGGAGGAAAGAAGAGAAACTTTCCTGACCACCGGGGAGGGAAAACGAGACACTAAGGTGGAGGGGGGTAAGACGGGGTGAATCCAATGTGTGCGAAAAAGGCCGCTTGATTCTCTGCCTGAATGCGGGCGAAGACCTGGAGCGCCATAAGACGGCCATCTATCCTCGACAGTTGGGTGTTGAGCTCATCAACAGCATCTTGGAGGTCCGGGTAGCGGGGGTCTCCAGCAGGAGGAGGATGAGAGGAGGACGGACCTGCCTGATCCGGATGGGGTGGCGAGTCAGTGGCGGGTGCAGTGGTAGGCACCCGAGACCGCGGCCCGCCCTCACCAGGGGGCGTAAACTGATAGACATCGCCCACTTTGAAAATAACCCCCATCAGCTCCAAACTGCGCAAATCCAGTGGCTCAATCTCTCGAGCTAGGGCGAAGTTGTGCTCCTTGTCGAGGTCTAGCAAGCCCAATCGAATGGTCAAGTGGGTAATGAGTGAGCCCAAAATGATCGGTTTATTTTGCTTTTGAATGACTGATTGCATTTGAGTGACTATCCAACATCCAAAATTAACCTTGACGTTGTTGCGCATGCACCAAAGGAAATAAAATTCTGTTTTGGTAAGGGTGCCGGAGGAATCCTTCCGCTCCGAGAAATTGTGAGCCAAGAACCTGTGGATGACCTTTAAGACCGGATCCTTCAGTTGAGAGGCCTTGGACTGACTCGGATTATAAACTTGCCGATCTGTGGACCACTCCCTCCAGATGTCAATGTATTCAGTTCTGAACGGTCTGGTGTAGTCACAAGCAATATTGATATATGCTCCGGATGCAATGGTATCCTCACTGACAAACCCCAAAGTCAGATTAAATTCATTGATGGAAAAACTATACTGTGTGCCTTTTAATCTAAACTGAATAATCTCCGGCTCATCCAAAGTGATGTATTCATTCCTGATAAACTCAAAAGAGCAGTAGAATTCACAGCAAAGCTCTTCAAATGTGGGGTAGTTAATGATTAGGTACTTTTCCCAGCCTATTGCAGAGAACAACTGCTCAACCTCCCTTGCAATTCGCAGATGGTCTAGGGTAGGGGCGTGGAAGCACTTACAAGGGGCAAAAGGTCGATGCACCAAGGTGTTAAACCGGTCCTGTTGGGCCTTTGTAAGATTAGTGATCGGTTCTCCCCACTCTCCAGGAGACATGGTGCTCTTATTCAGGCCCAAACGGGACCGAATGGGGGGTTGAACCGGGGCTCGTCTCTTACGAGGTTTGGAGCCAGACGGCCCAGCAGTGGTTGCCTTCTTAGGGGGCATTTAGGGACCACAGACAGAGTGAATCAGCTCAGAGACAGCCAACCAACCACCAACAGCAGATAGGGGACCACAGACAACAAGAATTACAAAATATTCGGCAGCTCAACAGTAAAAGGGGGACACAATTACCCCACCAGACAACGGCCAGACAACAAACACCAACCAATGTCCCACTGCCGTCAATTAGCCGACAACAATAAAGAAGACCGAACCAACCCCCCTCAAATCAAAATATCAGTCAACAATCAGCGAGCTTCCGACCACGTGTAATAAATAATAAATTCACCGGAGCCCCCAGATGTCTCAAGTATATAATCAATCCCAGGCAGATACGTGTACTCACACTTGCAGACAACAAATAAATGGTCCCCAAAAAACAAGCAATTATGTCAACCCAACACAAGTAGAACTTCAGCAATAAATTAAAAGACTGGTCACATATAGCAACTGCCCCCCCAATTCAAAGACTGGTAGCAGCAATCGAGTATGATAGAGATACCACTTTCTGCCCACAGCGGAGGACAGACGCTGGGTTTCCGTGGCTTACAGGGCGTGCTTGTTGTAGGGGCTGGGCGCAGCGGTGTGGGCCACGCGATGGAGAGGCGCGCTGGAGCGCGCGAGGCTGGGCTCGGGTGCTGTCCGCGTGGGCGGGGACTGCGCGCTGGATCTGGATGCTGCGCGCGCAGATCAGGTGGCCGCGCGCTGAGTGGTGCTCGTCGCGCGAGCTGCTGGGTCTGCGCTAGGACTGCGCGAGATGGCAGTGCTAGCGCGCAGAGGCACTGGTCGGACGCTCTGGTCGCAGGGTAGAGCAGCAGAGCGGAGGGAGCAAGCGCGCAGGGAGGGCTGTGGACCTGCTAGGCCGCGTGGGCCGAGCTTGGGCGCGCTCTCTTGTCGCGCGCGGTGCTGAGGCCGCGGATTTGCTGTGGGCGCTCGTGCGGTCTACTTGCTGTGGGAGCCAGGCGTGCGCAGGGGGTGCACGACGGCGGCGGCGACGAGCTGTGGACTGTAGCGGTGGCGTACCATGGAGGCGGCGGCTTGACCAAAACAGAGGAAGTATTATCAGAGCTTAGGCAGAAGAAGTTTGGAAGGGATTGTCCAAAACTAGTCAAAGAAGAAGGAAAAGTGGAAAAAAAAGTAGAGTCTTGGTCTATTATTATTATTATTATTATTTATTTTTTTTACTTTCGCTATCGGAAGGGTTGGAAGGCGTGGGCACGTCTTGAAGGACCTAGTTCTCTGACCAACGCATCCTAATGACACTCAAGCGAATTTTTGTCAAGGCGCGGGCACGCCTTGGATCTGCTAGTCTCCAATTTGCTCAGGGCACTTGGCGCACCCTTTCCAAGGTGTGGGCATGCCTTGGAACCTCTATTCTTCTGTCTAACACCACAAAAACCATCAAAACATTAAAATAAAACTGAAAAATTGCAGAGTAAGGAAAAATGATCACAACTAATATTGTAATCCTTGGGTTGCCTCTCAAGCAGCGCCTTTCTTTAACGTCTTTGGCTAGACATGGCCTTCAACTGTTTAGACTTCACCATTTGGATTATCAAGGAATAGAACCTTCACTTGCTCACTGTTGAACCCTTCATAATAAGGCTTTAGACGGTGACCATTGACTACGAACCTTTTCTCTGTCTTAAGACTTTGGATTTCCACTGCACCATAATGAGAAATATTAGTAACAATAAATGGACCAATCCAACGGGAACGCAACTTACCAGGAAAAAGCTTAAGTCTCAAGTGATAAAGCAGGACTTTTTGCCCTATGACAAATGACTTCCTCGTCACTTGTTGGTCATGAAAAATTTTGCTCTTCTCCTTATATATTGCAGCGTTCTCATAGGCTTCATTCCTTAGCTCCTCCAACTCTTGTAATTGAAGCTTCCTATTTCCTCCGGCCTCCATAAGGTCCATGTTACACCCCTTGAGCGCCCAGAAGCCCTGTGTTCAAATTCTACTGGTAAGTGGCAAGGCTTCCCAAAAACTAACCTGTATGGGGACATCCCAATCGGTGTCCTATACGCAGTGCGGTAGGCCCAGAGAGTATCTTCCAACTTCAGACTCCAGTCTTTCCTATTAGGCCGCACCATCTTTTCCAAGATGGACTTAACTTCCCTATTCGACACTTCGGCCTGCCCATTCGTCTGTGGGTGATATGGAGTGGATACTTTATGCAGCACACCATACTTACGAAACAATGCAGTGATTGTCTTATTGTAGAAATGGGTGCCCCTGTCACTCACTATAGCTCTCGGCATTCCAAAGCGGACAAAAATGTTAGATCTTATAAAATCTGCAACCACTCTAGAGTCATTAGTTCGGGTGGCTTTCGCCTCCACCCATTTGGAAACATAGTCAACAGCAAGTATAATGTACAAGAAACCAAAAGACGAGGGGAAAGGACCCATGAAATCTATACCCCAGACATCAAAAATCTCAACAAATAATATGGGAGTCTGACTCATTTGGTCCCTACGAGAAATATTCCCCACCCTTTGACACTTATCACAATATTTACAGAACAAATATGCATCCTTAAAGAGAGTATGCCAATAAAAACCACTTTCTAACACTTTACGAGCCGTCCGCTTTGGATCAAAATGCCCTCCACATGCAAACGAATGACAGAAAGTCAAAATAGAGTGAAACTCACCTGCACTTACACACCTTCTTATCACTTGGTCCGAACATTGCCTCCACAGGTAGGGGTCATCCCAAAGGTAATGTTTGGCATCACTCTTTAACTTATCTCTTTTAGCTTTTGACCAACCCGCAGGTAATTGATTTGTTACCAAAAAATTAACAATGTCAGCGTACCAAGGTATTGACAAATCAATGGCTAATAATTGTTCCTCAGGAAATGATTCTCTTAACGGTAGATCCTCTTGATTTGTGAGCAACCGGCTCAAATAATCAGCCACCAAATTCTCAGCTCCGCTCTTATCCCTGATTTCTAGGTCAAACTCCTGCAGGAGCAAAATCCACCTGATCAGCCTTGGTTTAGCATCCTTCTTCGCCAGCAAGTACCTCAAGGCTGCATGATCAGAGAAAACTATTACTTTTGCACCAAATAAATATGACCTAAATTTTTCTAGTGCAAAAACAACAGCTAGTAATTCTTTCTCTGTCGTGGAGTAATTAACTTGGGCTCCACTTAAGGCTCTCGACGCATAATAGATCGCGTGTGACGCTCTTCCAATTCTTTGTCCCAACACGGTCCCCACGGCATAGTCACTCGCGTCGCACATGATTTCAAACGGAAGGCTCCAATCTGGGGGTTGAATGACAGGCGGCGATGTCAATGATTCCTTCAGTTTATCAAAAGCCACCTTGCATTCATTTGTGAAATCAAATGGCACGTCCTTCTGCAGTAACTTGAACAGGGGTGCTCCTATTTTTGAAAAGTCTTTGATAAATCTCCTGTAAAAGCCTGCATGGCTAAAAAATGAACGCACTTCCCATACACATACGGGTAAGGTAGAGCAGAAATAAGGTCTATTTTAACTTTATCTACCTCTATTCCCTTAGCCGACACGACGTGCCCTAAGACAATGCCATGATCTACCATAAAGTTATATTTTTTTCAATTAAGTACCAAATTCGTCTCTATACATCTTTTCAGAATTAAGGCCAAATTCTCAAGGCATTCATCAAAACTGTCCCCGTACACACTAAAATCATTCATGAATATCTCAATTATTTTTTCCACATATTTTGAGAAAATACTTACCATGCACCTTTGGAAAGTTGCCGGAGCATTGCAGAGACCGAAAGGCATCCTGTGATAAGCGAATGTACCGAACAGTCATGTGAATGTAGTCTTCTCCTGGTCTTCTGGTGCTATCGCGATCTGAAAGTAACCTGAAAAGCCATCCAGGAAACAGTAGTAAACACGACCTGCCAATCGTTTTACCATATGATCAATAAAAGGGAGGGGGAAGTGGTCCTTTTTAGTCACGGAGTTTAGCCTCCGGTAGTCGATGCACTGACGCCAGCCAGTAGCTTTCCTGACCGGTACCATATCACCCTCCTGGTTCTCCTCCACGGTCACTCCCGCCTTCTTCGGGACCACTTGGACAGGACTCACCCACGGACTATCCGAAATAGCGAAAATGATCCCTACCTCCAGAAGGTTGAGTATCTCCTTTTTCACCACTTCCATCATCAGAGGGTTCAATTTTCGCTGTGCTTGCCTCACCGGCTTTACATCATCCTCGAGTCTTATCCGGTGCATACACAAGGACGGGTTAATCCCTTTAATATCGGTTATGCTCCACCCAATTGCCTCCTTATGTTCCCTAAGGATTCGCACCAGTCTGTCCTCTTGACTTGGAGATAGGTGTGCAGAGATGATCACCGGAAGTGTCTCCCGGTCTCCTAGGAATGCGTACTTTAGATGTTTCGGGAGAGACTTTAGTTCTAACTCCGGTGCCTGCACAACTGAAGGGAGCAACTTTGTCTGAGCCTCTGGCACAAAAAGAGAAGTAAGCTCATACCTTGGGGATACGGGTGGAAGTGAGTGTAAGGCTTCAACAGCATGGAGCAAATCTTCCCTTAGGTCCACATCAAGAGTTACACCCAACTCCAGATGCTTGATTAGAGCCACTTCCAATGCGTCTTTGCCATCTAATTCGAAAGTTTCCTGCACAAAAGGCTCAATAACGCTCAAAGCAAAGACCGAGTTAGATTCTTCTGGATACTTCATCGCCTCAAAAATATTGAAATTCACAGTTTCACCATCAAATTCCATTGACAAAGTACCCTCATTCACATCTATCTTAGTCCTGGCAGTGCTAAGAAATGGTCTACCTAACAAGATAGGTGACGGGTTTATTGATTTTTCATCTCCCATGTCCAAGATATAAAAATCTGTCGGAAAGACCAATTCATTTACTTGAACCAAGACATCCTCAACTAGCCCCTCTGGATATGCATTTGTGTGATCAGTTAGTTGGATTATGATGGCTGTTTCTTTAAGTGGCCCAAGATTTAGAGAAGCAAAAATGGTTTTTGGCATCACATTGATTGACGCCCCTAAATCTAACATTACTTTCCTGATCGGTATATTCCCTATCTTACAGGGGATCGTGAACATACCTGGATCTCCACACTTGGGTGGGAGTTTTCTTTGGAGCATTGCTGACACATTCTCTCCCACCGCTACTCTTTCGTCCCCTCTCAGTTTCCTCTTATGGATGCATAGATCCTTGAGAAATTTAACATATTTCGGTATCTGCTTGATTGCATCCAGTAAAGGAATGTTAATCTCCACTTTTTGGAACACATCTAAAAGCTCTTTTTCCTTTTCTACCTTTTTTGTCTTCTCCAGCTTGCAAGGAAAAGGAGGTAAGTTAGATTTAATAGTGGGCGGAGAAGTGAAGGTTACCTTAGGATCCTTGCGAATATGCCCTTCCTCTTCAATTTCCTTCTCTATCTCCTCTTCACTTTTGCTTTTTTAACTTTCCACTTTGAGCCCTTCCAGTTCCTTGCCACTCCTCAACGTCATAGCACTTACATTTCTGGGATTTACCTCGGGTTGCAATGGCAGTTTTTCATAAACGTGGGACTCCAAGCGGTTGATGGCAGTTGCCAGTTGGCTTATTCGAACATCTTGGTCCTTCTTGTCAGCCTTGGTGTCCTGCTGGAGCTGCGCGGTATTCGCGGCCAAGGATCTGATCTCCTGTTGAAACTGGGTAGTAGTCGTGGTCAAGCTTTTGACTAGGTCCTCCAGGGAGTTTCCTGAATTGGAGGACGAGGGTTGAGATTTTGGTTGCCATGGCTGGTGGAATCCTGGTGGACGATTCGGAAATGAATTTGTTGCCTGTTCCCATAACTGAGATTGGGATGGTCCCTCCAGCCCGGATTGTACCTATTGGAGTACGGGTCGTACTACCTGCCGGGCGCGGGCACGCCTCCAGCCATGTTTACCTGTTCCGCCCCGTCCTCTTGCAAAATGGGGCACGTGTCCGTGCAGTGGTCCATGCTAGTACAGATTCCACACACCTTTGCTCGCGGCGTGTCTCTCATGACTAATTACCTAACAACAGACGTCAATTCTGACAGTTGCTGGTGTATGGATAAAGTCTCTACCTCATTGACTCTACGGGGAGGGTTGCTCTCACGGAAGCCAAATTGCTGGGAGTTCTCTGCCATGGCTTTGATGAGCTCCCACGCCTCCCTCGGTGTCTTGTTTGCAAGTGCTCCCCCACTCGCAGCGTCAATGATACTCCTATCGGTTGATTGGAGCCCTTCATAGAAGTATTGGATTAACAGTTGTTCACTAATTTGATGCTGCGGGCATCTAGTGCACAACTTGTTAAACCTTTCCCAGTATTCATACAAGAACTCACCGGGATATTGTTTAATGCCGCAGATCTCCTTCCTCAAACTCGCAGCCCGGGATGCAGGGAAGAATTTTTCTAAAAACTTCTTTTTTAACTGTGCCCATGTGGTAATATTACCCGCTAGTAGGTAGTATAACCAATCTTTTGCTGCATCTTTGAGAGAGAAGGGGAAAGCTTTAAGTCTTATCTGCTCCTCAGTGAGCCCAGGAGGTTTCATGCTAGAGCAAACTAACTCGAACTCCTTGACATGTTTGTGGGGTTCTTCGCCAGAGAGACCATGGAAAGAAGGTAAGAAGTGAATCAGTCCCGACTTCAGTTCGAAAGCAGTATTCTCTGCCAAAGTGGGGAATGTGATGCATAAGGGCTGGTGAGTCAACTCCGGGGCAGCCAGCTCCCTTAATGTTTGGGCGTTGGCCATGCTTATTTCGTCTTCTACTGACTCGTTTGCAACAAAGAAGTGTCCTTCTTTTCGTCTCTTGGTCTCTTGCCTCCGCCTACGCGCTGCCTTCTCAACCTCAAGATCGTATATCAATTCACCTGTGCGAGAAGAACGGGGCATAAACTAACAAAAATACCAAGAAGAATAAAATAAAATAAAAACTGAATTTAAAAAGAAACAAATAATCCAAACGCCAACTCCGGGGCAACGGCGCCAAAAATTGACAGGTGCCGAATCTGTGCAATAATAATTACTAAAAAGTCTTAATTACCACATCAATTAAATAATTATAGAACAAATCCAAGTACTGGAGCAGGGACCCTAGGTGTGCAATGGGTTACTTGATTCACCCTGTTCCCGAAGAGTTTGCTTGATCCGATATACCGGATTTATCTATAAAAATACTAATTTTGCGTACAATGGCAAGTAGGGTCGATTCCACAGGGAGCAGATAGGAAATTATTTCTTTCCAAATTAGTAGAACGAAATTGGGGGATTTTCAATGGGAGACAAATAAAAATAAAATAAAATAAAACAAACAAAATTCAAAACTAACTCACAAAGCACAATTCACTAAAAATAGCAATTAATAAAAGTTCTACCCAAAGGATCAACTGCTCAGGCACGGTCCAAATATATACTCATCGATGCAAAGATATTTCATCCATTTATCACTAGGTTGGTTATAGCCATCGATAAGCTCTGACAACCAGCTCTTCCTTACTTTTTCGACAGTCAAGGTACGACCATTGACTGCTTCTCTAATCAGATAACAACCCTAGGTACGACCGTAGGAATTTAATTATCCAATTGCATTAAAACTAGAAGAACCCAACCCTAACCAATAAACACGCTAAGAGGGTTTATTTAAATTAGATCTTGCGTTTCCCCATCATAAAGCCAATTATGGTGGTTGCTATGGGGTGTTAACTAAATGAACAATTACGGATTCTGTTTAATTAACGTGGCAGTAGGCTATTAAATTAAATTAAATACCCGACCGTTGATATTCAATCAATAAAATACCCATGAACAATTAATTCAGGAAACGCACGAATAGCAATAAATTGGAAGAAATAATGAAAATTCGATTAGATCTCACAGATGTTATGGACCGCGCCTTCGCGTTAACTTTTTGGTAGATGAGGAAATTAGCCGCTCCTTATCGTGTCAATCCCGCGTGGTTTAATTGAGTTCATTCAATTAATTGCCGAAGAATTGGAAAAGTGAAACAATGAAGGAATAGTTTCTTCGTATTCTGCGTCCAAAATGGAGCCCCGCGCACAAGGGGAATCTTCTTCCCTAATTGCGGCTAGAGAGGAAAGAAAAATCCAAAAGCGTCTGACAAAAGAAGAGACAAGACGAAAGCTAAGGTCCTCCTAATTTCGAATGTGATTGCTGCGGAAGAAAAAAAACAAAAGAGCCGCCGAACTGTCTGACAAATCTTCCCCTAAAAAAAAAGTAGAAAAAGAGAAACTAAGGCTAAGAGTCGTGTCCCCTTGAATCTTGTTTTTTCCTTTCTTTATAGCCGCCGCAGGAGCTCTCAGACGTTTGGCCCAATTCATTCCAACAAAAGCTAGCCTTTTGGAGTTTTTATCCCATGCTTCTCGCGGTTCACGTGGACCGTAGTCCCGCTTTCGATAACGTCTACCTTCTAAGGCGTGGCCACGCTCTGAGACGAAAAGTCTTCTGGAAATTTATCCCGCGAGATCATTTTTCATGCCGACCACCTACAATTCACACAAATATCGAATATGAGTGAAATTTCAATTCTTAGCACCGTGAATAGCCAAAATTAGGACAAAATAACGGTATAAAATGTGCCAAATAACCGCTCTATCAGTTTGCAACCCCAGGACAACAAAAGACATATAGCCCATTTAATTAACAAACCAATATCCAATTTCAGATTTTGCACATATATATCCTTTGAAATACTATGAAGACAAGTAGTGACTACTGTCTGTTTCTGGCGGATCAAGTAAACTATAAGTAGTATTATTCCCACTCGAAATGCCTTTGTCAACTAGTAAGTACTAGTATATTCTCTTTCGACTCTGCCTTCCCTTCCCTTCCCCGTGAAAAGCTATCTGCAGCTACGCATAGAGTTGAATATCGCAGGAAAAATGGAGGAGGAAACGAAAACGTTGGAGATAGTTAAAGCTCGTTCAGACAAGAGAGAGTACCGAAGGATTATCCTCAAGAATTCTTTGACAGTCCTACTGATTAGTGATCCTGAAACCGATAAGGTTTTGCAGTCTTTCTTCATCTAAATCCACCTTTATTCTTACTATTTTCTTTTTCATTTTCTGCTAATTTGATTCATTGCACAGGGAATTGGATTCCTCCATTATTTTATTGATGCTAAAGTTTCTTCTTCTTCTTCTTCTTTTTTAATCTTTCTCTTTGTTTTTTTGTTTTGTGGGTGGAATTTAATTTAGTGTGCTGCTTCAATGGATGTTGGAGTCGGCAATTACAGCGATCCTGAAGGTTTAGAAGGCCTTGCCCATTTTCTAGGTAACAAGTTCCTCACCTCATTTTCTTTTATTTTTAATTTTTTTTAACGGAGGACTTTTTTGACGCAGAAGTTTTTATTCCACTTTCCTTCTTGCATGCTGACGTGGATTTTGTAAGTTTGTCTTAAAATTCAATTGTCGGCTATTGAAAAGGAAAACAAGAAATACCAGGGAAAAAAAAAAATAGTAACCGGAGGAGAAAGAAGAAAGACTCTCTGTGTTTGTAATTAATTTTAAGAAGACTTTGGTGGCATTATTTTATATTTGACGTAAAATATGGAGCATGACTTTGGTGTTCGTCCTTTAGTTAAGTCTTGAAAAAGCATAGCATTATTATTGTTTCATAAGGCTTGAATATTGGGGTGTTTGGTGTTTTGGTACCAACTGCCATTTTCTAGTCTAGCTAGTTGCTTCCCTATCTTGTCAGGAATAAAATGAAAGAAAAAGGTCTTGATTGATTGATAGAATTCTACTTGATGTCATGTCTTTGTTTCTTCGAGAGTTCACATTTATATACTTTTTTTTTTGGCCTAATAACTTTAATGCTCAATTTGTGTTCTGGTTTCCTTCAATTATTTATGATTAAGAAGAATATATTACCTTTCAGCAGCTTAATTATATGAGCTTTGTGCTTATATTTTGATGATATGAAAATAATGATTCGTTTGAGAATTATATACGAGTGATATAACAAAAACTCAACTACAAAAACATGGATTTCTCCATTTGATGACTTGATATTTCACCTTTATCATGTTCTTTTTCGTTTTCTGAGTTAAATATCACCAACATTAGGTGACATTATTGATGCTCTGTTTGGATTCCCTGTTTTTTGAGTGTTTTTCAAAAACTAGTTTTTCAAATATAATAAAAATTTTTAAAAAGTACTCTAAAAGGTAATCTAAAAATTAGTTTAAATTTTTTTAAAATTTTAAAAAATATCTCAAATATATTTTAGAAACTTTTCTACTCTTAAATATCCCAAAATATTTTCTAAAAATATTCCAAAATATACTCTAAAAACTCTGCTCGCTGCTACAGCAAAGTTTTTCAAAAACACCCATAAATTATTGAATGACCCTGGTAATTTTGATAATTTTGTAAAATTTTGAGAAATAAATATTGACTTGATTAATGAGGATCCTCATTCAAGACTCTTATCATAGTGATGATGATGGCAACTCTTATGGTCAAGAAGTAAGGCTAGTATACATCATTAACAGGAAAATTTAACATGACCAAATGACCAAATTTAATTATTTAAAGATAACACTTCAAATAATGTGGGTATGTTCTTGAATATTTTATCCACTTAACTAATTTTATTAAAGAATTGTTGACCGTCTGCAAGCGCCTAATGCTTAGATTAATGTACTCTCACCAGCTGATTTGACAAAGGAATGAGAACTTATACCTTGGTTGTCAAATTTTATCCCAAAAGGAGATTATTGCTTGGAACATTCTGTCATCAGAGTAGCAAAGATTAAGTTGTTTTAATGGTAAAAATTAATACTTATCGAATTTTTTCTCAAATATTAGGTAACAGTCTTGTAAGTTAAATATCAAGTAAGGGAAAACGCACTTTTAGAAAATTTCTATAAAAATTAAAAGAATATCTACAGAATGATTATAAAAACTTTGATAACTTAAAAAAAAATAAATGTAAGGTATCTAAAAAATTCAATTTAATACTGAAATAAAGCATCTATTGTGTATGTGCTCTATTTATTTATTTTGCATGCTTTTTATAATAAAATAAATATACGTTATAATTTGTGAATGCAATTTTGTATACTTTTTTATACATATAAAAAATTGGCATACCTACATGCACTTTGTTTGATCAAAAGTAAAACCGTACACTTATTTTAATTTTCTAGAGTTATTTTTTTCATAATTATTTTATTGAAATTTTGTGTAATTTATATTAAAATAAAGGTTACATCTAATCCGCAAATTTTGAGAACTAAAAGAGGATTTCTGCATAATAAGTAAAAGGGAAGTAAACTAATATGTTCCTTATTAACATAAATCAATTAAGAATTTAAAAGTAATGCGTGAACAAAACTGCGATAGATTGTAAATTAAGAGGGCCAACACAGCAGAATGCTCATAAGAGGTTCAAATGAACTGGACTGACATTATTGGCCCAATCTAACGCAGACATTTGATTTTTAGCCTAATCCTGCTTACTGACGGGCCCACTCCAACAAGATAGTCTGGCCACTAGCCGGAGCGTGAATTTCACATCAGCGCGTCAAACGCACGCGCCGCACCAAATGGTTTACTCAATCTTTTGGCCTCTCCTGTGGGAGTGACTATAGTGGAAACCAGTGTCTTCTGTGTGTGTGTGTCTGCGTGTCTTGTTGGTCAAAGAAGCCTGATTGCAGGGCTGAACCTGGTTGATGTTGTGAAGCCATTTTTTTTTAAAATTTTGTTTATTAAAATAGATTTGTCAGATTATAATGTGGGCTTATTGTAAAATGTGAATTGTGGTGTTGTAATAATACAGAGCATATGCTGTTTTATGCGAGTGAGAAGTATCCAGAGGAAGATAGTTACTCTAAGTTCATCACTGAGGTACTTATCAGATTGCTCATATGGATTTCTTTTTGTACTATAAGTACTTAACTTTCAGGTTTCTTTTTGATTTTATATGCTTTATCTTTGTTCAGTAATCCAGTTAGCCCCTGTAACAAGTTGGCCTTGATAGTTCAGCATGCCATTCTGATGAATATTTAGTACTTCAACCTTTTATAGATGAACCATGGTTTATAAATAAATAAAGGAAGGAACTAAATTGCTGCAATTCAAGATGCGAAACATTTCAGCAATCCGTGTTTCTCTTCAAGGCAAAATGTTATTTAAGACTTGAAAATTTGCCTGACTATGGTTTTAATAGCACATTGTCATATGAACTGCTTTTGGCTTAATTGCTGTTTTACTTATGAAAATTAAACAAAAAAAAGTTGTTATTGGTATTAGAATGCGGGCAGAAGAAAAATACAAGCAATGATGCTCAAAAGACCTAAACTCTCTGCAAGAACATGAAGAGAATAAGTGTGTTATCCTTTTTTATGTTTATGTTGCTGTGCATTTTAGTTTAAGGATATTTAAAAGTTAGAGTAAGAAATTAGAGTCTTGATGGCAAGAAATATGTAGTGCTGGTTTTTTTATGCTCAATGAATGTGATCTTCATGTCAGACTCGTAAAGGAAAAGGTGATTGCTAAATGTTGCCAAGTGGTTAATTCTAACTCTAAAGTGGCACTTAACTTGGAGGTTTCTTCCTAGTATTGTGCAGTGGTCAGTAGATGATTTATTCACAAAGAAATGCATATAAAGTGGTGAACTGATTTTTCATAAATAGGTGTCTTCACTTGACATCTTCGCAATAGCTAATAAGGCTGGTAAATTATAGGGACTGAGATTGGTTAAGGGAAAGGATGAAACCAGTTTTATGAAGTGAAGGATTGCTTAATGTATTCACAAAATTCGAGCTTAGGACTAACATCTAGATTCAAGTATACCAGGGTTTCTTTACAAGTACCTTCAGTACTGCCCCATCCCATAATAAGAGTTTATGTGCTATTGGTTGTCATTATATAAGAACAAAGATGAAATGATGGTTTTGTTCTCTTCTGTGCATAATTTGGTTGAACCTTGAAGCTCATTTGCAGGCTAATATATCATGTTTGGTTTAAAATCTAAGCCATTTAAAATGCCGATGAGTTATCATCTTGAATACATAACTTTCTTTTACTTGTGACAAGAAAATCAAATAAGGAAGCCTGAATGCCAAACTCATGGCTAATTTTCTGCTTTGTTGGTTCTCTTTGTGCTTTATGGCCAATATTAGGCATAGATACATGAGTATGCTCATTTTTCTGGAGTAGTTGGATTATGCTTTTGTTTTGCTTTTCTAAGAGATTATAGATAAGCGGGTGAATTGCAAACTGTGTCTGCCACACCCTATGAAAGAGAAGAAAAAAGATATGCAACACTTAAAGAGGGACAAAAGGCATAAAAGAAACAAGAAACAAATAAAAAACCTGGTAGCATAGGAGACCAATTCTTAATTTTCATGGGATTGTTATCTTTTTCTTTCCAGCATGGGGGTATCACAAATGCCTTCACATCTTCTGAGCATACCAACTACTATTTTGATGTCAATCCTGATTCATTTGAAGAAGCTCTGGACAGGTTAGGATCCTTCCTTACCACAAATCAGTATCCTTGATTTTTTCACATAGCATGTCTCTTTTGGAAGCCATAGTCTGGTTTATTTTTTCAGATTTGCACAGTTCTTTATCAAACCATTGATGTCGCCTGATGCTACAACAAGGGAAATAAAAGCTGTTGATTCAGGTTAGCAACTTCCTTTCTTTCTCTCATATATCTCTCAAGCTCATAACACTAAATTATAATGCTGACTCTCTCTCTCTCTATCTCTCTCTCTCTCTCTCTCTCCCTTCCTCTCCCTCCTCAGAATACCAAAAGAATCTTCTATCTGATGGTTGGAGGATGAACCAGGTATTCTATGGTATTTTTTTGCCTGCTAGTCCTATTTTCATTTGCACAAAAGTATTTTGCCTGTTTTTTAAGCTTTCTTTTCCGTTGCAAAAGGAACTAACTTATTTGAAGTTATTTTAATGCAGCTGGAAAAGCATCTCAGTTCAAAAGATCATCCTTTCCATAAGTTCAGCACGGGTTTGGAGTCCAATCTATGATTTTTGTCAATTTGATTCTGCACCACTAATTTTTGGGCATGCCTTGGAGTTAAAGTTTTATCTCGTTGATTTGTAAAATACCAAGTTAAGCTAACTTAATTTCACTAATTCTGGTGTTGTGTTTTGATGCTTCGTCCTTCTTTCCTTATTGATATCTTTCGTGTCTAACATTTCCTGAAGATTGCTTAGAAAATCTAACAGACAAACATTGGGCCTAACCTGTAATGCTCCTGCTCAAGATGTATGTATTGTTGATATCACTCTCAATAGTGCTGAAATTTAAATACCAAAAGTTCTAGAAGTTCAGCATAGAAAAGTAGAGTATCTGGTCCATCTTAAGATGAAAGCAAAATTAAAATGAGAGATACTGATATTTTAGAATATGTATATAAGGTGGAGATGCAGTTAGGTTATGTGAAAGCAATACCATGTGAGAAACTCGAAAAGAAGGCATATAATCAATTTTCCTTTTGGTATGTGACCTAATTATGTCTGCTTGAGGAACACCTATTTTAATATGTTCCTCTAAACAATCTTTGTCTTTATCTAAAATTTCAGTTGTCAAAACAGTGTTCCAAGCTCCACAAGAAGATAAGAAATCCACTTTCATGTCTGTGTCTTCCGGATCTTGCAATGGAAGTTCTAGGCAATGTCATTTCGGAAAAAAGAAAAAAAAAATAAAGACCAGAATAGTTTTTATAGGTCAATAATGTGATTCAAAATTTGTGGCATTGTTAATTCTTTGTTTTACTCAATCAAACATTCAGTGACATGATCATTGAGAAAATATCTGGAAGAGAAGTAGTAGACTGAGAATAAAACATTTTTATGGTCATATATGGTTCTTTCTTTGTCTTTCGTCAAACTTGTAGGCAACTGGAATACTTTAGAGGTGCGGCCAAAAGAAAAAGGACTAGATACAAGGCAAGAGCTCCTCAAGTTCTATAAAGAATATTATTCAGCTAACATTATGCATCTAGTTCTCTATGGAAAAGGTGAGATGAAGATTTTACCATACTAAGTTTCTTCGGCTCTGCAATTACAGTTGTCATAATCTTTTTATGGTTTTTTTACGTGGCAGACAGCCTTGATATCTCCCAAAAGCTTGTTGAGAATAAATTCCAGGAAATCCTCAATATTAATAGAAGTCATGTGCGTTTTATTGGCCAGCCTTGCTCACCAGAATACCTTCAGGTAGTATTATTTTTTCCTTCGTGCTTCATTTAGTACTTTTAAGTCAGATATTTGATCTCAAAGCCATCATAGAAAATAGCATAGATTAATTTTGTTGTCAGGCATCCTTGTTCTCCTTATTTCTTTCTTTTCTCTTTCATGGCAATTTGGAATTCGTTATTTTACTCCATCAAAGACTGCTATATACTATTATTAGATGCTAGTTTCTTTTGAATAATCATTTTAAGTGCAAACTTTTATTTCCTTTGATTAACAGAATTATGTTACTATGTAAGTGAAACAATAATAGACATTGTTTTCTAAAGATAGATGTTGTATTCATATATTGGAAAATCTGTGTCTGTATGTAGATCTATATTGGTATTCTACTACAAGCATAGCTGTCATGTCTAAAGCTGCACAAAGTCTTGAAGATGTCTTGAGTACCTTTTTTTCTCGACCATTTTTCTGTAAGAGAATATTCATGGCTGAGGATATAGCTGCATTTAGTCTTTTATGAACAAAAGCATACTATAATTCTCGAAATGCTTAAGTTAGAAAATAGTACTGTATTTAGGAACTTACATGAATATTTGTCATCTACTTTCAACTTGATTGGTTAACTTTATAAAGTTCCTTTCTTCTACTCTTCTGATTTATTAATGAGATAACTTTGTTGCTGTCATTTTGGCATGCCCTTGAATTCAGATTTTTGTGAAAGCTGTTCCGATAACAGAAGGCCACAAGTTGCGAGTAACATGGCCAATAACTCCGGGTACACTTCACTACAAGATGGCTCCAAGTGGTTACCTGAGCCACTTAATTGGCCATGAAGGAGAGGGATCTATTTTTTATATTTTAAAAAAGTTGGGTGAGTTTCTAATCTCCTTAATTCTCTGAAGGCTTCAAAAGCAGACCTTATTGAGATAGGCAGTGGTTAATGTTAGTTGATAATGCTCCAGAAGTTAAATCTTTTGCACTGCAAGTTTGAGGTGCTGTTCAATGATATTGTGCCTATATTGGCTCGTTTTTAGAATTTACTATCTGCTCCCTTTTTTCTTCCCATACTTTATGTGATCATAATTCTAGATCAGCAAAACATATTTCTTGTGAGGAATGAAGGTTATGTAATTTTGTCCAAACATCAGCAATGGCCTTTCCACTGTCCTGTTTGGAGCAATAGTGTTCTTTTTAACTGAGTTTGGTTATACACGGAGGGGTGGCTAAAATTTCAAGCACTATACGTATGCCATTATCCATTATTATTACTATTTGGTTACCATTATTCTGTATCTTGACCCTTATGATTCTGGGGATGCTCATTATTAGAGTATATCTTAGGGGGGGTAATATTCTTGTTTAATAACCACCGATTGTGGCTTCTTAATAACTAGTTACAACTCTGGCAGGTTGGGCAAGTAGTTTATGGGCTGGGGGATCAGACTGTGCACATGAATTTGCATTCTTTCAAGTAGAAATTGAATTGACAGATGCTGGTCATGGTAAGTGCTCTTAATCTTTTCTTTAGCAAATAATTACAAGTTTGCTTTATTCCCTCATTTTTCTGAAGGAAGAGAGTGTGAGTGGAGAGGGTTTGGATTGAGCATTTGAAATTTATATTGAAATTTTTAACACAATAGTTTATTTTCCTTCACATGAAAAAATAGATGTAACTTGTGTAGAATTTTCTGTTTTGAGTTGTGATATCGTCTTTAAATCTAATCACAGAGCACTGTCAGGAGATTGTGGGGCTGGTTTTCAAATATATTGACCTCCTTCAGCAATCCGGAGCGCAGAAGTGGATCTTTGATGAGGTGAATAGTTGCACCTCATACCATTGAAGTGCGATCTTTATTTTTGTACTATTGACATGGCCTATCTTGTGCGTCTCTTTGCTGGTGACAAAAGAATCTGATGTATTTCTAAAGAAAATATTATGTTTTTATTTCATTTTTAGTACTCAAAGAAACAAAGAAATACACCAGCTCACAAAAGCAACTTATTGAGTATGACTTCTCCAGAAATGTTCTTATGTAAATATCTACAAATGAAGCATCATATATCTGGAGAAGACAACCTGCAAAATATCAGATAATCACATCTGGTGTCATATGCGGAAGGAACTATTGATTTTCAGATTGGAAAGTTAGATACCTCAATGTTGTCTTCTGCATTGGTGTCACTTCACAATTACACCAAGTATTTAGTTGTTTTGATTGGTAAGTACGGTGGTATCACATGTAAATTGCCGTATGGAAATTATGGATCACAGAAAGCTGAAAGGTCAACCAGGTTTCTATATGCAGGTTTACCATCCAAGAAGCAAGATTGTTGAATGTTAGCATGAATTGAAGTGTTTAATTCCTCTTTGTTTCATGAATGATTTTGGGGCAATTTCCACTACTTGAATAACAGGAGATACTGCTCAAATGATTTGAGTTGGTGGCGATTGTTTGGATGGTAATTATAAAGTTCACTGTTAAGGATTTCTCTAGTTTTTTAATGGTGGGGAACTTGAATTATTTCTAGTAATTATGTGTGGTTTGTTATGAAAACTTCTTCTTGTGTTCCTAAATTGGCTTATCAAAGAAAGGAAAAGAAAAAGGTAGCAGAATTTTTGTTGTTGCAAATTTGGCAGAATGGCCAGACATCTCTTCTCCTGATGCATGCTTTCACTCTATATAATGCATCTCAGATTTTGACTTCCCTTCTGAAATTTTGTCTATGAAGCTTTCATGTATGGGCGAGACACACTTCCATTATCAAGACAAAATTCCTCCAATTGATTCCATACTTGGCGTTTCATTTAATATGCGGGTAAGCAAGAAATTCCGTGTCTGGAAATTTTCATATCTGCAAACAACCTATTATTCTCTTCATGCATCTACAGTCTTTCATAATTTTCATATCTGCAAATAACCCATCTTTCGTTTTATTAGAAGGAGTCCTCGCCCTAAAGTCAGACTGTTATTAGTGTATTGTTTTCTGAAACGATGGTGACTTTGAACTGTTTAAATGTCTTATTTACCTAGCAGTCCTAGATTTTTTGTTTACAAGTTAACATGAACTAGAAAATTAGTTCTTATAAGTCAAATTTTCTTGCACCTGGATATGCACTAATTGAAACCACTTTTGCAGCCCAATGCAGTGGCTTTGATGATTAATTGGAATTCTACTTATTACTTCTCCCAAGGTCTTATGGACCAGTTAAACATTATCTGCATACCCGCCATGGGATACTTGAACCTTATGGCACTATGAACCAAACCAGCTCTTCCCTAGTTAAAGCCCTAAGAACTTGATATGGATTCATTTCAGTTAGCATGAAGCTGCAGAGAAAACTACGCAATGTGAATGTAGAGGTCGTTCTTAATGGTTCTAAAGGTGGCACTTTATAGCAATTAGCCTTCCTGGCATTAGATCTCACATTTCCAGCTGGTTTATCACCTTGACACCAATTATAATGACCTGGAAGGGCAGCTAAGAAAATTTTGAGGCTCTAAGCACCACCCTAAAATAGTTTAAGCCAAATTACTGGTAGTATTCTATCTAGGATCCAATGTGAAGTGAAATTTTACTCACATATTCAATGTAGGACAATTTGAACATTCAGGAGTGTGTCAAATTGGATGTTAAAATGGTGGTCTTAAGGTATTTCTTTGTTTGGCATTTGTCAATCTTTTAGGAATTCTTGCAGTCTGTTCCTGAAGTTGAGCTTAGTAAGTATATGCCCAACCATGATACTCATATCAAGACTCACTAATCTCAGTTTTAGCCTCACTAGTTCTGATTTGATAGAGAGAGAGAGAGAGCTCTTCCCAGGCAAATGGATAAGCAACTTGCATCTTACTTAGACATGCTTGCATGACAAGGACTTGTTGCAAGATGATTTTGGCAAATAGTTTATTTCTATGGTTAAAAGAATTTCTGACCCAATCTACCAGCAGCGAACAAGTTTTGAGGTTGACCTTGGTCAGCCTGGTAATATTTATTGTTCCATTATTTAAAGTGCATGTTTCTGCTCTTACTGCAGCAGCATAAACAAGAAAAGATTTCTTGGAAGGTATAAGCCTTTTGGTGAGAAATTCTGGATGGATGAAGTAATCGACACTGATTAGTTGTAGCCTATAGGTGAGCTGATGGTTATTAACACATTGTATCGGATTAATTTAGTGCAAGCTTCCTTATTCATTGTGTGAAGATTTGGATATTGGACCTTGTAATATGTGAATCTATTTCCTCAAGTGAATATGGGATAAGCTGGTATTTTGACTTACTGGTGAACTCATTCTGTGTTGTTCTAAATAAGAACAACTTTTTGGGAACAGCTTGTAGTTTCCATTTAAGAATTTTTCTCTGCCCCAGTTTTTCCATTCTCTCTGTTTTTCCTTTCTAATTTGATCATGGAATTTATCTTCTCATCAATTGATTTTCATTGTTTCTTAGCGCCATCAAGTCTTTAAGCGTTTCTAGTAGTTTGCCTTTTCCTTATGCATGATTACCTGTTGATTATTGAATAGCCATATTAATTTGTCTTGTGAGAAACTTCTGTTAGCTATATCCTCCAGAAGACTGGTTGGTGGGAGCATTGCCTGAGAAATTTAATTCTGACATTATTCAAGTACTATTGGATGAGCTCAATTCAAACAATGTAAGGTAAGTTTTGCTGCTTGATAGAGAACAAACTCATGGTGTACTAAATTCTTCTTTCCTTGGAAATCTACTTCAACCATATTCATTGCGAACAATACACAAAACCTTTTTCCTTCAGTTTCAGTTTAAACTTCAGATTAATCTAGCAAGAAAGTGAAGCCCAAAAGAAATTTAGTTCTCACCACATCCATGCTTTTCTATACAAATCCAGTGTTTATTATACGTGATAGGACTACAACCTTGATTCCTCTAAATCAGCATATATTGTAAATATCATCTCTTGGTCTAAACATCCAAAATTCTATTAAATCCAAGCCGTGTTCTTCAGTTGATTCTCGTACAATATTGTAATCCAAAATCGTCAATCATGATCCGTAGGATGGATGGGAATTGGTAATGCTTAATACTCCTGGAATGGCTCCTGAAGTGTCTTCAGTTAGTCAACCTAATAGTTATGGGAAGATCTAAAGATCATTTGAAGAGACTTCCTATGAGGCTTTGTTCCTAGGATCTTATTGTCACTTCCCTTCTTTAGTGCATTTTTTTCTTCGTTTTAGGACCCGATTCTACAGAAATCCTCCTATAATTTGACTCTTTTGAATAACAAACTAAACCATAAAAATCTTAAGAGATTTGGAGAAAAACACTCCACCTGAATTCCCATTCCTCTTGATATTGGCCAACCTTTCAGTAAACCTTCTTATTTGACCCTCAAGTATCAATCAGGATTATCTCGCTGTTCAGCCTTTAAATTATCACAAATTGATGGAAAATATTGTATTTTCAACTTTCTTATGGCCATTCTATGTAGTTACTGGTTGCACATTCGATGCATATGAGGGCCGTCTTACTGTATTCAACATATTGTTATTCTTGAATAAACTTTTGAAGGTTACAGTATATTTTTGCTGCAGAATTTTCTGGGCATCTAAAAAATTTGAAGGGAATACTGACATGTCTGAACCCTGGTATGGAACCTCATTTTCTGTGGAGAAAATAACCAGTTGTCAGATTCAGGTAAGTGTTGGTGCTGTGTGATAGAAGACTTCCTGTTTTCTCAAGATTTAGATCCTTTATAAAGCCTAAAATGAAAATGATCTTTCAAGGTTCGTGTACATCTGTTTTCAGCAATGGAAGGAAAGTGTTTGTGAGAAACAATTGCAACTGCCAGCTCCAAATATGTTCATCCCTTCTGATCTGTCTCTGAAAAATATACTGGATAAGGTATCAATTTTCTGCATAGTTTGGTATTTTTTTCGTTGTAATTGTCTGATATGTCTGTCTTATTGCAACAGGCAGGTGTTCCATTCGTATTGAGGAAATCACAATATTCAAGGTTATGGTATAAGCCTGACACAGCATTTTGCTTTCCAAAGGCATATATCAAGATAGATTTCAACTGTCCACATTCAAGAGTTTCTCCTGAATCAGTAGTTCTTACGTGCCTTTTTTCACGTTTGGTAATGGACTACTTGAATGAATATGGTAAGTCTTCACGATTGTGTAGTTTTCCTGTGGTGATGCAGTATTAAGGTGTCTTAGGTATAACGATATATCAATCTCCAAACAAAAACCAGGAAAAATATGCCTTTATATGTAGATACCTTCTTAGAGGAGCTACAGTATTTATTTACTCACTGTCTTTCAGTTTACTATGCAACAACAAAGAAACAAAAAGGGCATATGCCTTATACATACACTATCTTCCTTAGCAAATTCATTTTTCTGCATTTATCTTTCAGCTTATTATGCTGATGTTGCTGGTCTTTACTATGGAGTTTCCAACTATTATGAAGGTTTTCAGGTAAATAAACACTTCTTGTCTATGTTACATTAGTTTTAAATGCCTTGGTCTTGTCTTGTGAAAGTGACGATTTTTACTTCTTTCTGGGAGACTATTGCACGTAAACAAACTAAAGTTAGCCTCTATGCTAACAAACAGAAAAGGAATTTCATTCTCTGGAATAGCTGCAAATGCAGGGGGGCTGGTGAATGTCGTAATTTCATCTAGGAAGCTTGAAAGCTTTCTGAACTGGAATCAAATTTTGTTTAGCGGCTTCTCCATGCAGTTTTACTTGTTTTTGCTCCCTTTGTGTAGGCATAAACTTACAAAACATTTTGTTCATTTTTATTCCATTCTTTTCTTCCTTCTCAGGTGACTTTGGTTGGATATAACCACAAAATGAGGATCTTACTGGAAACAATCATAGAAGGAATAGCTAAATTTGAAGTAAAACCTGATAGATTCTCTGTAATGAAGGTGAGTTTGATAATTACCATGAACTGCAGAACAATATCAACTTCTGTTTTTTAGTCTTCTTGGTTTTTCTTTGGGATATAAAACAATGGCAAGAGTGCAATTAACATTTGTTGCTTCAAAGATTTTCTATGTTCTTTAACTGTTCGAAGTAAAACCTGATAGGTTCTTTTTACTTATATTGCTGCTACTTAAGATTGTTGCTTATGATCGTGGGAATTATCAAGAGAATTAACAGAATAAAGGGGAGCAGACTGTCCCTCTGAAAACTTCGATGGGATGCTGAAACTCACTTTAAATGATTGATGTATACAATGTTGCAGCATCTAATAGTAGTTTTATTTGATATTGGTCAAACGGAAGAGCACAAAAGTTTTGGGGTTTATAAGTGGTACTCAGCTAAAATGTTAAGGAGATTTTGTTATAATATTTTTATTAGAGGTCATTTGAATGAGATGTTTTGTTTTGTGATAGAATCTAATTAGAAGATATAGATAACTTTTTAACCTCAATGTAACACTCCTATACATGAATACTTTTATTTGTCCTTTTCTGGATCAGTTTAGTTTAAATGTTTGGCAAAAACTCAGATTAAAATGTTGCAAGCTGAATTATTGTTTACCACTTTCTTGCTTTGGCATAACTTCTTAATTGATCTTGGACCACTTCAAGATGTAAGTCTCAAAGGAGTACCCTGGATTAAAAAAAATTAATATTTGAGATTTTGGCTTTGGTTTACCTTGGTAGTTAATGATTAACCAGATATGTGTCCTGAAGATGCTCCTAGTAAAGACTTACTAATGGAAAGTATATTCTTTCAAATTTTCTTTTCATTCTCATAGGAATTGCTCATCAAGGACTACCAAAACTTAAAATTCCAACAGCCATATCAGCTGGCTAAATACTACTGTTCATTAGCTCTACAATACCCAACATTTCCTTGGAAAGATGAACTTGAAGTTCTTCATCATCTTGAAGCTGATGATCTTGTGCAATTTTATCCTCTGATGCTATCCAGGGTCTTTTTAGAATGCTTTATAGCAGGTTTTTTATTCTTTCAGCAAACTATTATTCTGGTTGCAACTCTTGGCTGCTTCAGCCAATCAAAATTGCCATCTCACTTCTATCCTTCTCAGGAAATCTGGAACCAACTGAAGCAGAAAAAATGGTCCAGTATACAGAAGATATTTTCTTCAGTGGTACTCGGCCTATATCTGACGCTCTGTTCACATCTCAGCATCTGACACACAGAGTTGTTAAGCTAAAAAAGGGCATAAATTATTGTTATGCTACTGAGGGCCTAAATCCAAGTGATGAAAATTCTGCCCTTGTCCATTATATCCAGGTACAGGTTTGATAGGGGAATTGCAACAAATATAAAGTTCATGGAACTTTAAGCCTGCTCCAATAAAGCAATTTTGTTAAGAAATTCGTTTTATAGTTTAAGTCTCTCTAATATGACTACTAATTTCACATTAGACATGCATTTTGACACTTACAACAATTATATAAAGGCATATAGATAGATATGCACACTGATTATACATTGATATGCGGACTTATTTATATATTTGAATCAAAATTGTGGAATAGGTGCATCAAGATGATTCAGTGATGAACATAATGCTCCAGCTTTTTGCTTTAATTGCAAAGCAACCTGCTTTCCATCAGCTCAGGACTGTTGAGCAACTTGGTTATATTACTTCACTTGCACTACGGTACGTCAAAACTTTTGTTTCATTAGAGCTCATATCTCTCCACAAATTGGTTATATTTTCTAAAAGTTCTACATTGCTTTTTCACATCCATTTAGGAACTTCTCTGGTGTATATGGAGTGCAATTTATTGTTCAATCCACTATCAAGGTCAGATAACAACTTTTACCCCCTATTAAATCGAGAAGAAAAAGTATTTTGTGGTTTAACTGTTAAACATAGTTCACTGAAATTTACAGGGACCCAGGCATCTTGATTCAAGAACAAAAGCTTTTCTGAAGATGTTTGAAAATAAATTATATGAAATGTCCAGCCATGAATTCAAGGTGAGCTCATCTGGGCACATCTAAGTAATTTTTATCACAACTTAGCCATTGTAACGCTGCACTACCTGCAACAAATCTCTATTAGAGCTCACAGGTGAAGAGCTACTTTAGAGGACTAATTGTGTTTACCCACCAAAATTGCTGATAATGTAAGGATGATAAGATGTCTAGCTGTGGATTATAAACTTTCACATTACCACTATTGAAAAAGCAGAGTGTATGATATACGTAATCAGATGGAATTTGGAGAAAAGTTGTCAAATTTTTTCATCATAAACAATGAAGCCTGTGTATTTGATCATTTATCTGTTCAAGGTGCTATGCGTTATTTTATTTTATTTTTTTGATCCTGCTTAGACGCATTCATTATCTGCTTCTTGATTTATTTCATTTGCTGCTCTAAATCTCTTTTCTTTACCTTTGTTGTTTGGTGTGATTGTCAAGGTGCAATTCAAGTAGCTGTTGTTTATAAAATTAGAGCTTTAGTTGCAAACATAATCTAATTTCTGTACATGTTAATGCATTGCTTTAACGGGTGAGAGTGAGCAGGACTCCTAAGGGGTTTAATATTGTCACATAGTATTTCCTGAGCTGTTACCTTCCCTTTCTCATTCTTTGGTTGCATCTACTTCATTCATTGTTTGCCTAGCAAACAATGAATCTATGTATGAGCAGGGGTAGTATGTTCTGGATTAGTGCATAAGCAGAATTCACCATCCAATTAATGATCAGATAGCTGCTTACTACCAATTTTTCTATTCCCCACATCTGAATTGTTGAAGCTATATAGGTGCGTGCAATTGTTAAAGCATGAAATTGTTGGCTTAGTCTAATCTCAATCCCGTGGATAGTAGACACCAAATTGACACATGTTCTTTCACTATCCAGTTAAATTAATACTATTTAATGCATCCAGCCTTCTATCTTCCAGTACAGCCATCCTCAATTGGTTCCGTGTTAAAATTGCAATTTACCTGGAGTGGTGGTCAGAAAAACTTTGTCCGGTTGAGAATACAGTTAAAAATTGTCAGACAAGTGCTACATCACATGCCTCATTGAGTGATGAACTACATGTTAGCTCATTCGTCTGTAGTATCTTGCTTTTGATTGAATTACTCGAAGAATTATTTACCAAGTGGGCCATGTCCATTGTTTACATCTATTGCATTAAGAAGCAACTTGATGTCTCTTGTGCAGAGCAATGTCAATGCACTCATAGAAATGAAGCTTGAGAAGTTCAAGAACTTACACGAGGAATCTGCATTCTACTGGTGCGAAATTGCCAGTGGTACCCTCAAATTTGATAGGATTGAACACGAGGTACTATTCTTACACATTACAATGAGGATGCTAGAGTTTGTTTCCATAAATGTATGTTGATTCCTATTTTGACTTGAGCATTCTGACAATGTGAATTTGACGTTTTGAAGTTTTTCCTATTTGGGCTATTACTCATGATTGGCTGTCAATTCTGCTCTAGTTTTTGTTACTTGAGAATTGTGTAATGTAAAACCCGACTTGAATTCTGTTAGAATAATCCAGCAGAAACACGCTAGTTGAGAATAAGACATTGCTTCCAATGCTATTCTACTTTCAAAGCGCATTCTTGATGGTATTTTATCTTGCTATAACAGGTTGCAGCACTGAAGCAGCTGACGCAAGAGCAATTCATTGATTTCTTTAATGAACGTATAAAAGTTGGTGCCCCTAGAAAGAAAGCAGTAAGTGTGTTTGTCTACGGAAACTCACATTTGTCCGAGTATGAAGCAGATAAAAGTGAGCTTGTTGCACCCGAATTCCTCCAGATTGAGGATATCTGCAGCTTCAGGAGGTCTCGCCCTCTTTATGGCTCGTTTAAAGGAGGCTTGGGCCACATGAAAGCTTAAAAATTTCATGTTACTACCGAATGAGTAAACTAAAGGTTGTTTGCAATCTTTGAGTGGCTCACCAAAAAGAGAGAAGGGAGATCTGAAGTTGAAGAAATGTTCTAATTCCATTTCACAAAACCTGCACCAATTGCAACTATATACGAGTTCAAGGCAATTCGAGTTCCAGTAACTTCCGGTTCTGCTTCAACCACTATGGGAGTTCAAAATGTGACTCGAATAGTCCCCAAATCCAGCTTACTAGAGATTTCAATTAGGTGATCTCACCTAATTCGACTTTCAAACTCTCCCTTATCCCTTAGCTGCCTGCATGTTAGATTTTCCACATCACTTGTTACATTACGAAGTCATTCACTTGCCCGTTGACCTGTTTGGTTTATTCTAAATTTGGGCTATATTAATTAACTTTCCTTCTCTTAGAAAATTTAAGCATGGATGGCTATTTGCTAGATACCATTTTGAAGGATGTGGTCAAATTATTGACTAAGGGTCTATTTGGGGTTGAAAAGTACTTTACCTAATAGAACCTTTAATAAAAGCACTCATTAAGTGTTCAAGTACTTTTAAGTATATTTTTTGGATACATAATTCGATGATGTTCGGATTTATATTGGATAAATGTGTAATTTTAAAAATTTAAATGTAGTTATCTCTGTATTTAGTTTATAATATATGATAAAATGATTAAATTTAATATTTTATATTTTAAAAGTACAAAAATTATTTTAAAAGCACTAAATTTTAGCTTTTGTTAAAAGTGTTTTTTAACATCAAAAGTACTAAATGGTTTGTTTGGATTGTGTTTTATTTCTCCAATTTTATCTGCTTACATCATTATTACAATTTCCAATACATCTTTTTATCTTCCCAATTACCTTTTTATCTCACACACATCACATCACAAAAAAAGCTACAGTAAAAATATTCCAAATAAAACACAATCCAAACAAACTTATATGTTCACCAAGCACTTCAAAAGTGCTTTTAGCATCTAAAAATACTTTTTACCAAAAGTTTTGCAACCCTAAATGGGGTCTAAGTCCTTTTGGTTGGTGTTATAACTCAGAGGGAAAATGCTTCATGTTCACCACTTGAATTTCTCACTTGGTACACTTGCATTGATAACATATTACCAAGTAGGGATGGTGGACCATGTCTCATCTAATAAGAAGTAGACATGATATATCTCACCATCAGTCCTTGGTAATTAATTATTAATACTAATACACTGTATGGCATGTCATGTGGTTCACATAAGACATGTAGTATCATACTACTTACACTTTTGTGATATAATTAAACATCGGCTCACTTTTTATCAAACGCATTTTTATCATATGCGTTTTTAGGGAAAGTTTACAAAAAGGCTTTGACTAGGTCCGTTTAGATTGCTATTTTTAGAAGTTTTTATAGAAAAATGCATTGTAGTGATTCGATAAATGTAAAATAAAAAGAAAATGATTACACGCATAAATTTTTTGGTTGGATTTTGGTCAAATAGATTCATGGGTAAACAAGTAATTCATGTTACAAAAAGCAGTTAATCACGGAAATGATTTAGTCAAATAGGTTGTGTCGTGTCAATCCCAGTTTCTAAGAAAATACCGTAAAATGAAAAGAAAATCAGTACATCAATTAGAAAACGATGTGATTTATGTATGTTTTCCATATTTGGAATTAACGCATGCTTGCAGTTCACCTCCTTACCAGATAATTTCTCTTTATTGTCTCTGATCGTTCCAAATTAAAAAAATTTAAAAGGACAAAAAACACTTCCGCGAATCTTGAAGGTCCGATAATAAGTTGAAATCAACCTTCGGAAACTAATCAAAAAGTGATGAAGAAATTGCTTCTTTAGTTAAAGATGTGATAATTTCAAGTCAATTGTTTACCTCCTATTCTTTCTTTTCTGTCAGAAATCAAATCAATTTAACCAATAATCATTGTACTGCTTATTACGCCCAAAATTACGACATTTTGTGGAAATTTTTGGTGGCCCATTGCTATGGCAAAAGCATTGTGTGTTTGGATATTAAACTATTTAAAATAATTACTGTAATACATTTTTATAATGTGATGTATGTAAAATAAAAAAGTGATTATAATACATTGAAAAATATGTTTTGTGACGGGAAGAGGTAGATTATTTGACAAATAAAAACTATCCAAAGAAATGCAACATACACTACACAATAATATAAAACAACAAGGCCACTTTCATTGCTTCAATCAGATCGACCAGACGCACCTATTTTTCTTCTTTGATATTCTTTTCACATGACCAAAATTTTTCTCCGCAACTGTTTCCATTAGTCTTGAAGAATAAACTGAAACAAAGAGACTTCCTGAATGTTACCTATGAGATTAAGAATGACACATAGCTCGTTCAGAGTACAGGATCAGTAATAATGCAAAGGAACTAATCACTATTTCTTAGTTCATTGCTCTGTACGTATCTTGGTCAATGAATAAAGAATTGAAATCACCAGTATCAAAATCCATGAAAGTCTCGAAACCACAGCTGGCCATAGAGGTTCTACCATGACTTGCCATGTTGCTGCTTCTGCTGCTATCGACCCCATGAATACGGTGGAACAGAGGGTGGTGGCGATGGTTTTGCTCCTCCGTGTTGGAGGGTGGATGGTAGTACATCCGGGCAGTCTGAGGACAGTGAGAATGAAACCTGGCTAATATTCTCACCCCTACATCCAACATCTCCAAATACTTCCCCATTAGTGCCTTTCTTCCTCCCCTTGAGAAAACAATATAGTATGTGATGCTGTGTTTTCCACCGACAATTTTGTTTGATCAAATTGTGAACAATGGGGATTAACTGAGATAGGAGTTGAGACTTGAGACCCCTTTAAAGAAGATCCCAATATGTGGTAAGAGGAAGACTCCTAGTGGTTCATAGAAAAAGACAACTCACAAGTCATCCCCAACCCAACCCATAAATAAAATAACCATCTCAGCTTTCTGCCCAGTTCTTTCTTTTTGAGCTTTTTGAGTCATTCATTCCTTTCACACATTTGACTTGTAAATGTGGCTCAGGCGCTTTCCAAGTGAGACCAGTCCAGTTGGAATAGATGACCTCAAAACTGAAACGGTTGACAACTATGCCTGTATTCGCCTTTTCTGAAACACCTAGAGGCAGTCAGAGGACCGTGTAACATGAATGACTAAATTCTTAATTCTTCCCGTGAAAGATTCGAAGGTTCCACCCACCATCAAGTACTAGTTAAAATTGTTCCAAAAAGGAAAACGTGAATAATGTTACCAATATGTTACATTAGCCAACTGACCCCCTCAAGAAAGAAACTGTACTGAATTGGCTGTTAGCGCTTGTTAAAGCCAGAAACTTTTTTTAGTTCATCGGTTGGGGGATATTTACATGAAATTGGATGGCTCAAACACCAACATGCATTTTCATGCTTCCCAAAGATTAGATTTAGACTTGGTGTTAGTGGAGAGCTTTTCTACACGTCAAGTAGCCGGTGCCATAATTATGGTGGTCAACTAAACCATGGGAATACAATTCTAATAAGCTTATGCAGTGCAATAATTTTTTCTTTTGAATCACTTCCCATCCAACTCTTGTTTAGCCAGTCTTTTCAAAATTCCATGTTATAAATTTTGAAATCTTTGGAGCAGTTCAAGATCTCAGCAATGACAAATCCCACCGCCATAGTCTAACCATTATAGTTAAAGATCTTACCATCCAAAAATTTCTATCTGTTCCTCTGGTCTCAATCAACCAGCAACATTTTTTTTTTCAATGGAGTACCCTACTAGCCATCATGTTCGCAATATATGAAACTTCTACTACTTGAGAATCCTTTCAGGTAAAAAGCTACCTATGAAGTGGTATCATGAACAATCAATCTTTGAAGTACAAATTATCAGGTCCTTCATTTATCAGTGACAACATATATATATATACTTTGGCCCTTTTTTGGCTCATGTTTGTAGAATCTAGACAAAATTGGCCATCAAATTCGTAGGCCGTATTAAGTATTCCTAGTGTAATCCTGTACTTGCTGGGGAAAATATAATCAAATTTACAGTTAAACCCTTTTATCAAGCCAACATTAGTGCCTTCTTTCTTTTACCAAGTATGTCAATTTGGTCCAGCCAAAAATCTACAGAGCTTTCTACTGAATAAGATCTCATGCAATCTGCAAACAAAAGGTAAGCGAAACAATCATTTAACCAGTCCAAGATGTCCAAAAACTTAAGAATGGTAGCATACTAAGGTGCAATATTTACCATATAAACATAGGGATCAGTACGGCCTCCTGCTCCAGACCTCTTAACCTGCTCTAGATTCAGCAATCTGCAAAACTGAACTTAATTAGATTATCCTGAAATTAATTATACCATTATTAGCCTTCCAAAGTCAAGCTTAATTAAATCAAATTCTTAGACTGTTAAAACCACAAACCAGATTACCGAGTAAACTGTATGAAACAAAACCAGCTCGCAAGTAGCTATGCGATTGATAGCCCGATTCAGAGAGAAGGCACAACAACTAGTAATGCGTAATGGATTACCATAACTGATTACTAAACAAAATATTATTAGCTCTGAAAAATCAAGCTTAACTAATTAAAAATTTTCACAAAATTTTACTTCAAACCAATCTCTTATACCATACCAGCATAGATAAATTGTCAAAAATGAGTCACTAAATAGGCAACATGTCAGAGGTATAACCAACAATGCATGAAGTACCACGCTGATTGCCTTAACAAATTGAATTAGGGACGGGTCACAAAACAACGGCCCACATATGAGGTATACTTCAAGTAGGTCCCACTAGACCACGTGGCTGCTTAATTCATACGTGTCAAGTGTGTGTCTGTGTGAGAGAGAGAAAATTGTTTGGGCTCACATTCTCAAGGCCTTGCTGGTGCTGGGGCTGTCGCCGAGCAACTCACGAATCTTAACTTCGGAAGCGCGGCCGTGAGATGACAGAACTTTCAGAATAGCTTCGGCTCGGCGGCGCATGTGAGTCGAGCCTAGGATCGGCTTCCTCTTCGGATCCTTAGCAGGTGGAGTAACAAATCCACGTCCACCACCACGCATCTTCATCATCACATTGCCGCTGCTTCCTGCACTGGAAATTACGCTGCTGGAGCCATTGGACAAGCACGACGACGCCGAAGCTGAAACAGAAGCCGATGATTCAACCTTCGAAGCCTGCTTCCTTGAGCTGGTGCGTTTCTGGCAGTCGGAGATGGACAAATTCTTCGATCGCCGCTTTCGAACCACCTGTACATTCGTCACAACGCAAATAAGCTCGAAAACAGGGTGAAACAGAGCAAAACTACGTAGAAATCTCCACCGAATTTTATTAAGCTCTATAATTCTTTTCTAAGTAAATGAAAGAAAATGATACCTATTATAATTCAGGCCATAATTCAAGCATCGCTGTTCACGAGAATAAAGAAACAAATAGAAGTTCACAGTTTAAGACGATCATCGCATGCATTGTAAACCAATAATACACCAATGATCAATTCCAAATTCAAACTTCAGTCGAACAATCGCTTTAGAACTTTGAATATATGAACTGAAATGAATCGCGGTGCAAATTCAAATTATATTGAAACGAAATGAATCCTGATGCAAATTCAAATTATATTCAAAACGAATTCAACAATATCGAAGAACAACAGATGACACATTGAATTCAGAGAATTAGGATCATAAAGCAGAAGATTCTACCATTAGCTTCGTCATACGTCTACTCATTTTTAATTAGATTTGACGAACATATATTGAGAGGTGATCATATTTCTAAGCTCGTACAAAGACGCAGTTTGAATCAAAATTCATGCGAAACCAGAATTCAGCAGAAACGTGCTAGGAAAGTTAATAAGACGATCACCTTCAGCTTCATCGTGTCATGAAACTTGGAAACCACGGCGATCACTTTCACTCGCCGATCATCATTCTCGCTGGTCGTCACCGTCGACGAAGACGAAGACGAACAGGTCCAATGCGACCGCTGCGACTTGGAAAGCTTAAACCTCAACTTATTCTTCTTCATCTTACCAGTACAACTTCTCTCACTGCACAAATCAATGAGAATAACAATTACGATATTCCGGAAAACTCAATTCAAATTCAGGTAAATAAAATGAAATTTGAAGCTCTGAGATTATTATTCGGATTCATACAGCGGCAGCGAGAGAGGGAGAGAAGGAGGCGGGGTGGTGATGGCGACGGAGAGAAGGAGAAGAGCTGAGGCGACTTCACGTTCAACTGCATTTGGAAATTCTAATGCTTCTTCTTTTGTTGCTTCTGCACCTGCCATTTTTTGGTTTTTTGATAGAGGCGGGAGATTGAAAGGTGTTTTTTGAAATTTTCGGGGAATCGTTGCTAACTTTTTTTTGTAATTTTTTGATCTATTTTCCTTTCTTTCAAGCAACTGAAGAACTGTTTCAGTATTTATATAGTAGTACTTATTTCTTTTCGCCTTTGAGAGAGTCATTTTGATTTGGGCTAAACCGTAAAGCTGGAACGGACTATGGAGGTCTGTTTACATGGGCTGGGCTAGGAACATGAAGCTTAGGCAGAACAGATTATTGTTGTGAGCCACTGCACATGTTCGGTGGACTTTTTGCTGTGTCATTAATTACCCATTTATAAGTTTTTTTTTTTTACTGGTTAAATAGAACGTATCAAACGAGAAGTCGAGAACCTCTTATTTACAAAAAATATCTGAATGGAAAAACATAAAATAAAATAACTGTTTTGCGAATATCAAACAAAAATTGGAAATGAAGAAGTTAAAATATTCCGCCTAATTTAATGTTGAGAGTCTAGGTATTCATTTGATCACATCCCTCCCCTTTCTGAATTATGTCTGGTTATTCAATTTTCTTGAACTTTTACCAAATCAAGAAGAATCGAGCAGTAATGTGATTATTCAATATTGAGTAACTCATGAGGCATATTGTCCGAAAAAAACTAGGAAAAACTTCTCTCTCTTGAGAGTCGCACCTGTCTTCCCAAGTGTGGAAGTTCAAACTTTCAAAAACTCACACCTGAATTTCCCAATTCTTGCCCGCCATAAACCTTCCATCAATGAATTTGGAGAATATAACATCCCCTCTACTGAGAGGTACTGCGGTTAAGAAGCAAGGAACAATGAAATGAATAAGTTTTAAGTATGAGAGATGCCCAGATTTCTACTACAGACGTGGAGTAATTGGCCATAGTTAAAGGAATTGTAAGGCTTCTATTATAGTGAAGAAAGGATTATCTGATAACAAATATGGACCTTGGGTTAGAGCCAATTAAGGAAAGGAATCACCATAAAATGAGCAATATATAGGTAAAGGTAAGCAGGATAAAGTTGTTTGGGGTTTCAAAGATAGGGAACTAGTGCCAAAGAAAACAGTGGAGTCTACTCCAAAACAAGGACAGGAAGAAACAAGATGAGGTAAGATTGGAGGATCAAGTAGATTTGAAAAACTGACAAGGAAGAATAATGAGCGCACTAGCAATGTGAACTCCCCAATCCCAATAAGTGAAAAACTTAGCATGGACAAACTGAGCACTAGGGGAAATAAGGAAGATCAGGCTCTAGGACATGATAAGACCCACTACAGTGTCTTTGAGAAACAAACTGAAATGCAAGATCAGCAAATGTTAGAGGAAAAAGACTAACAACCAGCAAAATATTTCAGAGAGTAGAGTGGATAACACTATAGAAGCAGAAGACGTGATAGAGGTTGAGGAAATAAGCCTAGAGAATAAGCAGGAAGCAGTTCAGAAAATGAATAAGAGGATAAAAGAAATTAAAATCACCTATCATGAAGAGACTACCTTTGACAGAGATTGATAGGATGCTAGGAAATCAGAACTAAGAGGGGAAAGGAAAAGTTGCTAGACTGATACTGAGATGGTGGATGTAGTTATAACTGAAC